TATTTTTTACTTTTGTCACTGTGTTTTTATTGCTCAACAATACTATGGACAAACTTTCATTGTGGGGTCACCACAGATTTGACCTGTAACTTCCAATATCATACACAGCAATACCTGGACAGTTAAAAATTTCAGGATGAAATATTTCAGAGTTGTTTTTGACACCAGTGTTATTTTAACAATTTGAAAGTTAATGTGTGTTAGAGTTGTTGTTTTTGTTTTTTTTTGCCAGAGTTGATCTGGTTGAAGTTAATTCAGCTTCCACCAGTGTTAATGTGGCACCTCCCACCCATCACTACAAACTCCCATGAAGACCAGTTTGAACCAGTTTTGTGCATAATTTCATCTTAAATTAACTTAAATAAAACATCTCTGTGTGTTGTTTAGCTAAATCAGGATAATCCTACAAAGTGTTTTCTGTTTTCTCTTAAAACATTAATATAACTCTTGATTTTGGGGTTAAACAGGAACTCTGGTCCAGTGTTACTTAATGAACATTTCCAAAAATGTTAAATTAACTTTAGAACAGAAAATGTTCAAAGTGATTCTATGAGGGTCAATTTAAACACTCCAATTTTTTGCTGTGTAGGTTTAATGCCATACAGTGAAACATTGTAGGCAAAGCAATAGAATCTCCATGGAGACAAGCTGGTGACGTATCCTCAACAGAATTCTAGGTTATGCAGTGCAGCTTTGAGAAATGATGTCTAAAATTTTCATTAAAGTATTAAAGAAATAAAAAGTCTATATCTGTGTCTGAATATATACTATGGAAGTTTTTAGATCATCGTTGTTTAATGTGACTAAAATGTGTTCAACTTGTACATTTTCTGACTGTGGTTGTGTGACTGTTTCAGATCTGGTGGGAGAACTTGAGGAGCGTGAGAGTGTGAGCAGCACCAGCACAGCAGCCTCTCTCCTCAGACAGGGAGCAGGTACAGAGCACAGACACAGACTGAAGCCTGGCCTGCTGCTTCTTGGTTCTTCTTGTTTAAGTCCTAGTTTAGATCTTATTACAACTGATTAAGAGTCCCTATCCTTCTTAGTCCTCCTTTAGTCTTATTTTGACTGGGTTTGGTTCTGATTTGGTCCTGATTTGGTCCTGATTTGGTCCTGGTTTAGTCCTGCGTTAGTCCTATGTTTTTACTGATTTTAGTCCTAGTTCAGTCCTGGTTTAATCCTGTTTTTATCTGGGCTTTAGTCCTGCTTTAGTCCTGCTTTAGTCCTGTTTTAGTCCTGCATTAGTCCTTTAGTCCTTGTCCTTTTAGTCCTGCTTTAGTCCTGTCCTGTTTAGTCCTGCTTTAGTCCTGCTTTAGTCCTGCTGTTTAGTCCTGTTTTAGTCCTGCCTGCTTTAGTCCTGTTTAGTCCTGTTTAGTCCTGTTTTAGTCCTGTTTTAGTCCTGTTTAGTCCTGCTTTAGTCCTGTTTAGTCTTGTCTAGTCCTGCTTTAGTCCTGCTTTAGTCCTGTTTTAGTCCTGCTTTAGTCCTGCTTTAGTCCTGCTTTAGTCCTGCTTTAGTCCTGTTTTAGTCCTGTTTTAGTCCTGCTTTAGTCCTGCTTTAGTCCTGTTTTAGTCCTGTTTTAGTCCTGTTTAGTCCTGCTTTAGTCCTGTTTAGTCCTGTTTTAGTCCTGTTTTAGTCCTGTTTAGTCCTGCTTTAGTCCTGCTTTAGTCCTGCTTTAGTCCTGTTTTAGTCCTGCTTTAGTCCTGTTTAGTCCTGTTTAGTCCTGTTATAGTCCTGTTTTAGTCCTGCTTTAGTCCTGCTTTAGTCCTGCTTTAGTCCTGTTTAGTCCTGTTTTAGTCCTGTTTAGTCCTGTTTAGTCCTGTTTAGTCCTGTTTAGTCCTGCTTTAGTCCTGCTTTAGTCCTGTTTAGTCCTGTTTAGTCCTGTTTAGAGTCCTGTTTTTTTTAGTCCTGTTTAGTCCTGTTTAGTCCTGTTTAGTCCTGTTTAGTCCTGCTTTAGTCCTGCGTTTAGTCCTAGTCCTGTTTTAGTCCTGTTTTAGTCCTGCTTTAGTCCTGCTTTAGTCCTGTTTAGTCCTGCTTTAGTCCTGCTTTAGTCCTGTTTAGTCCTGTTTAGTCCTGTTTAGTCCTGTTAGTAGTCCTGCTTTTAGTCCTGTTTTAGTCCTGTTTAGTCCTGTTTAGTCCTGTTTAGTCCTGTTTAGTCCTGATTTAGTCCTGTTTTAGTCCTGTTTTAGTCCTGTTTTAGTCCTGGTAGTATACTGATTCTTGTCTCTCCCTCAGCGTGTAATGTGCTGTACCTGAACTCGGTGGAGACTGAGTCCCTGACTGGTCCGGAGGCGGTTTCCAAGGCAACCAAAGTGACTCTGTCTTTGATCCCGCGTCCTGTGGCAACCGTGGTCCACTTCAAAGTGTCTGCGCAGGGCATCACTCTGACAGACAGCAAACGCAGGTATTTTTACTACTAATTTTACTATTTGTACTATTAGTAGTACTGCAACAACTACTACACTACTACTACTACACTCCACAAGTTAGGTGAGGGGTCAGGTGAGGGAGGGCAAGGTGAAGGTCAGGGAGAGTTAGGTGAGGGGGTCAGGTGAGGGGAGGGAGTCAGGTAGGGGAGGGGGTTAGGTGAGGGGGCAGGTGAAGGGGGAGGGCGGGGGGACATCTGCCCCACGACTGATGAAAATAAATCCAGTAAAGTTCCAGATGGTAGCTTTAAGGGCATTACTCTTAGAGGCAACAAAAGACAACAGACACAGGCAGGTTTAGAGACAGAAGTATGTGTAGAATACACAAGTGACAATATTAGTCTTTATTTGTTGTAAAATCATTGTTTTCTTCCAGGCTGTTCTTCAGGAGACACTACCCCATCAACACAGTGACCTTCAGCAGTCTGGACCCTCAGGACAAAAGGTACACTTCAGTACAGACCGAAAGGTGCTAAACTGGGACTAAACCCACAAATAAACCTGGATTAGACCAGAACTAGAATGGGAGCAAACCAGGACCAAACAGGACAAGTATGGACCAGCACAGACAGACCAGGAGACTCTGTGGACGTCTGCTGAATTTGACAACAGTTTTGCTCTAGATGAGAATGAAATTTCAAGATTTTTTATTCTAGAATATTGTTCTGTATTTTCTTATATCGCTACTACTATGTAACATTTCTGGTGGAGGGTATGCTGCCAGCTTGTCTCCATGGAGATGTTATTGCTTTGCCTAGAATGTTCCACAGCATGGCATTAAACCTATTAAGTTACAGGTGATTTTAAAAGTGCACTGTGTAACTTTTCTGATGGAACCTGCTGCCTGCTTGTTTCCATGGAGATGTTATTGCTTTGCCTGACATGTTCCACATTATGGCATTAGACGTGTCTGTCTCCATGGTGACAGATTCTATTGTTTACCATAATGGCAAATATAGTGAAGACTCTGTGCTCTTCTGTCTTTGTCACACTTATATTATCTGAATATAAGTTGTTTGTGCGTTTGCTCAGATCTTTGTTTTTCATGTTTTTCTGCTTTTGTCTCTGTCCCTGTTTGACCCTTGACCCTTTTTGTCCCTGTTTGACCTGTGCTTAAGATGGACTCACTCTGAACGCACGTCCTGCAAGTAAGTCCGTCCTCTGTGTCTCTATGGAAACTACAGCCACTTTATTAGGTGCACCTGTGCTTTCTGTCCCCTCTCCACAGATCTGATCTCTAAAGTGAGACTCATGTCTCAAAAACATAGTTATCAAATCACATTGGATGAAAAATGTTGCCTAGTCTTTTCTAATTTTGTAATTTTGGTGAAGTTTATCATTTTATTTCCTGGTTGGACATGCACAGCAGATGTGACAAACAAAGAGGTAGTGTATGTTAGAGCAGTTTAATGCTACACTGTGAAACATTCCATCTTTAAGGAGACAGTCACTTGGTTGACCCCAAGGTTGGTCCATCTAAGCCTGGTAAAATCAAGTTTCAGATAATTAGAACCCTGCATTAGGTTTTAGCATCCAAACGATGACTTAGGAAGAAATTTGGAAGAATGAAGAATGCAGACTTTCAGAAGGTGCTGAAACTGTGCATCCAGGAAAGTGTCAATGATGTTGCTGAAAGGAGGTGAAGCTTATTCAAGATTTTAACTGCAGCCGAACAAAGAATGAAGATCAGAAACAGGATCTACTGCAGGAGTCAAAGACACATGCAGATCTTTAGTGACGCCACCAAAGACACAGTGGAGCTGTAATTGTAATTTTATGCAAGTTTCAGGTTGTGTTTGCAGAATAATTGACAAATTATTCGAATAGGCCTTATTTATTTGGTTCTGTGTTATAGTATAGACCCTATAGGGCTATTTTCAAGTGTCTTGAGCAACCTCTGAATATTAATTAATTTGCATAAAATATTTGACCAGATATGGAACCAAATGCAGGGTTCTAATCTAGAGAATCTAAAAAAAATGTTTTTTGGCCCACGCTATTTACTCCCTCCAGAAAAGACATTATGCTACTTTAAATCACCTTGTTTTGTCCTTTGTTCAGGTCTAGTTTAATTTTGCTGTTAGGATTGGGTTAAACCAAATATGGTCCTGACTTAGTCCTGGACCATCCTAGTCCCATTCTGTTTTCATCCTTGTGTATTTCTGAGTCCATGTTTCATTCTAATTCAGTCCTTATTTCATTTCGCCTGTATTTAGTCAATACAAAGTGTACATAATAAAGTGTTTATTGATTGTGTGCTGTTCTTTGCATGGCTTTAACTGTTGTATTTATCTTGAGTATCTTTTAATATCTTTAACCTTCATATTTCACACACAGTCTTTCGTTCTCATCCCTGTGTCCTCTCTGTCCTCTCAGGATGTTTGGTTTTGTGGCACGGCGCACGGGCAGCTCCTCTGGAAATGTATGTCACCTGTTCGCCGAGATCGACCCCGAGCAGCCGGCCTCCGCCATCGTCAACTTCATCAACAAAGTCATGCTTGCACCACACCTGCGCAGATAGAGCCACATGTGTGCAGAGAAAGTCAGGAATAATATCTTTTAAAACTGGATTTCTACAGATTTGCTTCATAGGACTGGGGTGGGCGCTGCAAAACCTCTTCTCACTTATCAGCATTTGCAGTTGTCTAGATATCATATAGGATAAAGCTTCCCAAACATTTGAAAGTAAGAATTATTTAAACAAGGACTAAACCAGGTCAACAACTAGACTGTGAGCACTGAGCCAAGACTAAACTAGGACTAAACCAGGTCTAAATCAAAACTAAGATCTGCCTGCTTCAGACTAGATTAAGCCTACACTAAAATCAGGTGCTTAACAGGCCTAAACCAGGACTTACCCTGCAAAAAGCAACATCTAGGCAAGTTTAAATGACTTAAATGAAGAAAGTTTGACTATGTGAGTAGATTCAACATGGAATAAGCAACATTAGATTTAGTTTCTTATTTTAAGTGCAAAGAGTTTTTGTGTAGCAAGATGTATTTTCATATTTAAAGTATAAAAAGTTTGTTCCGTTGGTAAATCATTTTACTTGTGAAACGAAATTTACTCAAATCATGATAAAACTTTCTTAATTGAAGTCGTCGTAACGTGGCTAGATTTGAGTTTTTGCAGTGTAAACTGAAACCACATTCTGCTTCATCAGGCCAACACTAAAATCAGGACTAGATAAGATCTAAACCAGGACTTAACTAGATCTAAATGAGGATTAACTAGGTCTAAACTAAGGCTAGATTTTGCTTAAAACTCTACAGTAAAATGAGTTCTTTAACCAGACTGAAAAAGTTTTAAACCAAGACTAAACTCGGTCTAAACCAGGACTCAACTGGATAAACCCTGTACCACTGTTTGAGAACCACTGTCCTGTCGTTTAGTCCAGGTGCCCTCCCTGACTTCACCTTCTCCTTTTACACTGTCATGGTATTTATCAGATTTGTATTTAGTGGCTCTATTTTAAAATGTTTCTAAAGGAAAGAGATATGCACAGTTTTAAGGGCTACTGGCAGGTTTCACTCCAGATACTCCACTGATTTGAATTTGGACCACAATTTGAATATTTTTAGGAGATTTTAATACAATTTTACAATTTTATTTGACAATACACTCTTGTTGTGTCCACGCGCAAGGCACTCATGGGCCTTTAATGCACCAGTTAAGAATTTAAATGCTATTTTTAAGCCTAAGAATTTATAATGAGTTTTGTAAATTATGCAAAATTTGAACTGGAATATTTTTGATGTATTTAAAATGTTGTCACACTATGTTCCAAAGCACACTTGTAAATATATGCATTTTTCTATCATGTTTTTGAAAGAACAGATAGTTTAGGAAGTAGAAGATGGTTTGAGAAATGTTGTGTTGTGTGTAAAAGAAAGGAAATGGACACCGAAAGCGTTTGGTTTAGACGGCAAAATGTTTAGTGTGCGACTTCAGAATTTTGATGTTAAGTTTTATACATTTAATAACTTTAAAATTTAGCCCAAAGCTGAATATTTACTGTAAAATGCTGCTTATGTCTTTGATAAGTGCTATTGTTGTTGTCATCTTTCAAAAGATTTTAAGGATCATGGTCAATGTAGTTTCTTCTGACCTCCGCAAAAACATTCAGGTTAGAGCATACCATAAATTAATAAAGTATACCTGACCAATTGAGGCGGGTATAGTAGCCTAATGTTTTACTCAATTAAGAATAATATTACTTCAAACAATATTACACAAGTAGAAGTAGAAAGTAGTGGCTTGAGAAATTACTCAGGAAAGAGTAAAAAAGTATTTGGGAAAACTACTATTCAAATAAGAGCAACTTAAAGAGTAACTGGTAAGTTTTTATATTTGATTATATTTTAAGTTATTATTTAAAGCGAATGTAATTTGAAGGACAACCATGAAATGAATCACAACATCTGGTATTTTCAAAGGACAGACACAAAAATGAGACAAACTAAACCATATTTGAAGGAGCTGCAAGAAACACAAATGTGCAAATCAATTCAGAATGTCACATTTGTCACTTTAGACTCACTGACGGTGGGAAGAGGAAGCACAACTTTTACTCAAGTAAGAGTACTGTTACACTGTACTATATATTACTCAAGATGGAGTAAGAGTATGCAGCTACAAAAGTATAATTTCTTAAGTTACTCAAGTAAATGTAACTGAGTACTACCCACCTCTACTTCCCATAACCTTCCCTTATATCTTGCTCACATGTTGGCTTTTATGAAGCTCATAGAATCATGTTGTAAGAGCTGTTGTTACAGTTATAACACATGTTTGAATCTAATCCTGACAGTGACAATAGCACAAAAGGCTCAGGGCATTTCGAGAAAAACAGTCACATTTCTACTATACTATCCTCCCATATCACTATGAATATCTGACCACCACATCAGCACATGTGTATGTGCACAAGCAGCCTATAATATACTGTGCCTATTGACAACACGTGAGAAATAATATGCCTTGAATTTCTGAAATATATGAATATGAAAACAGGAATCCAACATTAGTGACATACCAATGGTACTAGGGTCTAAAATACAAATATGTCAAAGGGGCGATATTACACTGTTTCCACATCACAAACAGACCTGGAGTTGTGTTTTGTTTCATTCACACATTTTTAACACACAAACATGCAAGCAAGCTCATGTTGTAATACAGGACGTGCTCCACTCCATACACCTACACTAAAAACATTTGGATAATTTCAGCCCTGGAATTGCCAATCTCACTGAACTAAAGGAAAGAGAGATGTTTACTTGAAAACAGCTCTACTGCAAGGTGGAACAAAGCATGTTGATCTTTGGAGATGTAGACAGACTAATCATAAAGGATTACTCAAATGTGTGAATGAAACAAAACAAAACACAACTATGTTTTCGGTCAGGTAACATTCTAAAGTGCGCAAGAGCCAATTTTGTGTAATATAGGACCTTCAAAAGGACCCTAAATAGACTACTATATGTGTCATAAAAATCAAAAATATCTAAATAGTACTTTCACAGAGAAGTAGTGCATTAAACTGGGTCCAACTAAAAAACATTGCCTTAAAACTCCAACACCTGTGAACCATATAAAGTATTGGAATTGTTGGTGTCATATACATTTAAAGTTTCTTTTCTGAATCATTTGTATGTGTTTTCTATGAGGCAGTAGACGCACAGCTTACACAATTTGCTATTTTCATTTTTGTATTTTTATGTAAAGAATCTAATATATTTTACACTTCTGTGGTGGAGATTTAAATAAAGTTATTGTATGAACTTTAAATGAATGTTGTCATTTTGGTCTCTGTACAACAATGTAAGCAAACAGCAGAGCCACAGGAGCAGACAAGAGCAGAGGGGACAGGATACTGATATATGTGAGGGAGAATAGTGTGAATAAGTCAAAAAAGTTTACAACAAGAACACAGAAGGGGCTTCAGTTTTATCTCAGTCTATCATTGTTAAAATGACTGTGGCTTCTCCTTGAGTGAATACTGGACCTTGTTAGTTATTAGTAGTCACTTCCTTAGCATTTGCACAATCATGCTTTTAATAATAGTGGTAAGTTGTCCAAAGTGGGTGTTACAAGATAACGCTCTCTGCCAGGTGTCACATCAAGACATGGAAATGAAGTTTGCGATGTAGCCTTTTAAAACACCATCATGCAACCTCCTACAGACTTGAAGTGCACGCATGATGCACATGGTGAAGGATGGACTCACGCTTTTAAAAGCAGCACTAAATTGTCCAGTGTTAAGTGTGATGTTCACAAGTTAACATGCCTCCAGTGTGACTGTAATGTGCATGACAAATATAGGTCCTGAAAAGGGATTAAGATCTGTTGGTGTAGCTTAGAATAGAATAGAATAGAATAGAATAGAATAGAATAGAATAGAATAGGGTCAGTCCATATGAAATCAGTCATTTTCAAGGAATCTCCCCTATGAGCCATCTCAGAAATGGCTGAAAAAAATTCTAAACATTTTTAAAATCACCAAATGAAAGAATCTCAAATTTTAGCTCAATCCCTTGAGTCGTTCCTGAGTTATGGCCTGTTGAAATTTTGGGGTCATGTCCACTTTTTGGAAGCCTTAATTTTGAAGCATGTTTGAGAGACCAGCACTTCATTAAAAAATAGAGCGAGGAAGCAGAACATTTGTATTAGTGTAGATTCTTGGTCATAGATTCTAAATCTGTTGTCAAATATAATGTCAAATATCTATATTCAGGGGGGCACTGTGGGCCCCCAAAATCTCACATTTGGTTGCCACTCAATTTTTCAGCCAAATCTGAGATGGCCCATAGGGGAGGGTGGGCTGATTTTCAATATGGAACTGGGACTCTTTCAATAGAAAAAAGCCTTTAATTGCCATTATACAGTATAATGAAATTCAGAGCTGCTCCGTCAAGTGCAAGAATTAAACAAATAAATAAAACAAATTATTTTAAAGCTGGAATTGACCTGAAGTGCCTGCCAGAAGGCAACAGGTTGAACAGGTAGAATCCAGGGTGTGTAATGATTTTCCTCACTTTGCTGAGACTGGGAGTTGTATAATGTGGTTAAGGAAGGCAGAGGGCAGCCAATAATGTCCTGTGCAGTGTTGGTGACCCTGTCCCTTCCTGTCAGCCTCTGTGCAACTAGAGTGCCAGACTGACACAGCAGAGGTCAGCAGGCTCTCAGTGGTGGAACGATAGAAGGTCACCAGCAGCTTGCGTTTAGTTGCTCCTTCCTGAGCACCTCAGGAAGTGCAGCCGCTGCTGGACCTTTTTGACCAGTGCTGAGGTGTTGACTGACCAGGAGAGATCCACAGAGATGTAAACCCCAAGGAATTTGAAGGACTCCACTCGCTCAACACTTTGGCCGTTGATGTACAGGGGGGCAGGGGTGGCTCTGTTCCGCCCAAAGTCCAGGATGAGTTCCTTAGTCTTGGTGATGTTCAGTGCCAAGTTGTTATTTGCACACCACTCGCTGAGTTTCAGAACCTCATCTCTGTAGGGCTTTTCATTCCCCTCTGTTATCAGCCCCACCACTGTCGTGTCATCAGCAAATTTGACAATGATGTTATGTGGGTGGGACTGCAGTTGTGAGTGTAGAGTGAGTAGAGGAGTGGGCTCAGCACACAGCCCTGGGGGAAGCAGGTGCTGAGAGTGCAGATGGATGATAGGTGGGGGCCCAGTTTCACCTGCTGGGGACGATTGACCAGATAGTCCTTAATCCAGGAGCAGTTGGATGGTGGGAGCCCCAGGCTGACCAACTTGGGGATCAGGATGTCTGGTATTATTGTGTTAAAAGCCGAGCTGTAGTCAATGAAGACCATCTTGACATAGCTCTCCCGTTTCTCTAGGTGGTTCAGTGCAGAGTGGAGGGCGATGGCTTTTGCATCTTTCGTGGATCTGTTTGACCGATATGCAAACTGATGCGAGTGGGGCTGGAATGACTGCTTGTTTCAGTGACAGGTTAAAAATATCAGTGTCGATCTGTGCTAGCTGGTCAGCACATGCCTTGAGCACTTTCCCTGGTGCTCCGTCTGGGCCTGTAGCCTTCCTGGGATTAAAGGTTCAGTTCCCGCCTCACATCCTCCACTTCAACAGTGAGTGGGGGGGTGTTGGAGATTGATTGTAGTGTGGGTTGGAGTGGTGTGACTGAGTGCTGTGCCTGGGATTCAAAGCAGGCAAAGAAACTGTTTAGTTCATCTGCCACTGCCACATCTGAGTTTCCTTATGCCACAGCACAGCCTCTGTAGTCAGTGATGGACTGTATGCTCTGCCACACCTGCCGGGGTTGTTGAGTTGCTCCTCTACCTTCCTCTTTTGGTCTGCTTTAGCGGCCTTGATGCCTCTCCTTAGGCTGGCGTGAGTGGTGCTGTATAATTCTCTGTCACCTGATCTGAAGGCTGCTTCCCGAGCCTGGAGAAGTGTGCGGACTTGGCTAGTCATCCATGGTTTTTGGTTAGGGAACACCTGGATGATCTTTACTGCAGTGACCATACCAAAGCAGAACTTGATGTAAGACAGTGCTGTATCTGTGAATGTGGAAGGCTTCCCACTGTGTTTGTTCAAAGCAGACCTGCAGTCGGGAGAGGGCGTCGTCAGGCTGGGTGGTGATGAGCAGTCTTTCTGGCTTATTTTGTCTGCTGAGGGGGGTGTATGCAGGGGTGAGGAACAGGGAGAGATGGTCTGACTGGCCCAGGTGGGGGAGGGGGTCAGGTGAGGCTCTGTAAGCACACTTGATGTTAGAATATACATGGTCCAGAGTGTTCTGGACCATGTATACTGGTGTTCCGGGTCTTTGTGGGATCATGTCAAGATGTGATTTGTTTACACTGATGTTTACATATTTGTGCCACGCTCAGGCCACATCAGGCACATGCACACCAAAATGTTTTATCATTTGTATCTGACGTACTGTTTCGTTTGCAGATTCGACAAGAACAATGCCGACTCCAATCAAACTTGTCTAACATGACTGCGATTAATACATGGCTCCAGAATAAAGTAAATCAGTGCTTGCAACTGTGTATGTGACTATAAATTGTTTGGTGTCTGTTAATGACTACGATAAACAGGCTATAAAAATATAAGTAAGAGGGCGTGTGGACCTCGAACTCACGTCACCCATGAAGAAAATAACAAGTGCAATGTCTTGACTGCTACGCTACATTAACATATTGAACTATCTGTTCGGCACCTATATCTGTCATGCACATTACAGTCACATTGGAGGCATGTTAACTTGTGAAAGTCACACTTAACATCGGACAAGTTAGCGCTGTTTTTAAAAGGGCGAGTGTGTCCTTTACCATGTGCCTTGTGCACGCACTACAGCACTGAACTAAAGTCGGCAGAAGGTTGCATGATGGTGTTTTAAAAGGCTACAACACAAACTTCGCTTCCATGTCTTGATGTGACACCTGGCAGGGCGTGTTCTCTTGTGACCCGCCCAGTGGACAATTTACCACTGTTATTAAAAGCTTGATTGTGCTGTGTCCTTTTGAGGGCCTTCATAAGTTAACATGCCTCCAATGTGACTGTAATGCGCATGACAGATATAGGTGCTGAACTGATAGTTCAGTATGTTAATGTAGCGTAGAGGTAAAAATGTCACACTTGTTATTTTCTTCACGGGTGACGTGAGTTTGAGGTCCACACACCCTCTTGCTTATATTTTTATAGCCTGTTTATCATAGTCATTAAAGGACATCAAACAACTTATAGTCACATACACAGTTGCAAGCACTGATTTACTTTATTCTGGAGCCATGTATTAATCGCAGTCATGTTAGACAAGTTTGATCGGAGTCGGCATTGTTCTTGTCGAATCTGCAAACGAAACAGTACGTCAGATACAAATGATAAAACATTTTTACCGTGCATGTGCCTGATGTAGCCTGAGGGTGGCACAAATATGTAAACATCAGTGTAAACAAATCACATCTTGACATGATCCTACAAAGAACCGGAACACCGTAACACTGGTACTGTGTGGACGCCTGAAATTGCTGATATGCTGATACGCTGATGTAGGTCTATGCGCCACGAAGTAATTCACCGCCAAAGCGCTAAGAGGCTAGACTATATGTCCATTCAAATATACGGCCCCTCTGTCACAGAAAGAACACATATAAGTCACTGAGTCATGTCCTTTAGTACGAGAGAAGCTGAACCACATCAGCGCACAATAGCCAGCTGTTCTTTGAGCACTCGGTGTATGCAAATTAGCCATGTGGTTTTAAGTTTCGTTTCTGTAAAACGTAAACAAATGTGCTCAAAACTGTGTGGATAGGGAAGGCTTGCGGACACAGAAACGATGTGTCTGGACACCAAATGTTTCCGATACGGTGATACGGTGATTCGTTTCTTGGCTTCAGATGGGCCAAGACACGGTTTTCCCTATGATAACTTTGCATAGTACCATGAAATATCCAAAAGCTAAATCCACAATTGTTGAACCTGATCATTTCCATTAGTGACAAAATAACTCACTGTATTACAACAGCTCACTGGATATACTGCAATATTTATTTTAGGTGCCCCGATATGTATTAATATTATTGGCGTCTAGAATGTCGTGGTACCATCTGAAACAGAGGAAAACAAGAAGGAAGCACATGAGAAATGTTTTCAAAAGGACGAGGTCC